TGTGGCCAGTGCAACTAAAAAAATTTTATAGACCTTTAATTAATTTGCCAAACAGAGTGAGTAGCTAACCACACTGGACAACAGTCTAATGGCTCTTATAAGTGGAACTGAACAGAGTAAGTATATGTAACCATAAGAAAAGAATCCTCATTTCACCTATCAATGGGCTCAACTAAGCCCAAACCCTTTAATGTACACTCAAGGCCTTAAAATCTGGCTATCTCCATCAGCTCATTTTGTCCTTCTATTATTCTTTGGGTTGACTATGACGCTTGGCCATCTCCTACAAAGACCATGCACTTTTATATGTTCTTTGCTCTCGAGTGCTTTCTACCCTTAAGTTTTGTTCAGGCCTTTCCTTAGCTGGAAGAGCTTCACCCAGACTGCAGGCTTTCCAACTCTTATTTCAACGTTTGAAGGCTCAGCTTAACCAACACCTTCCATATAATGCCTCTACCTAATAACCCAACTCTCCCTTTGCATTCAGAGTACTATGCTTGTACTTATACTACTGATCTTAATTTTCTTTTTCTTTTATAAGTATATGAACTCTTTAAGAGGAGGAAGGTATCCTTTTTGTACCTTCCATAGAACCTAACAAAAATGTCTGCAAGTTATTTATTGAATGAGTAAGAATACTTCATTTTCTGATATTCAGATTGTATGTGTTCTAGCTATTTAGAGCTTTAATTCCAGGGGTGATAATCTGACAGTGTTCCAGACACTCAATTACTATATCAGGTGCTTTTCTGGGCCACTGTTGACCAGAGATAAGTTACTTTTGGTGACTTTAACTGTGTGTTACAGGAAGCTATCAAAAAGACTAATTTGTATTAGTTGTCTCAGCATTTTTATTGATAGTTATTTTAGAGTTTATTGAAAAGTCACTGAAGTTCTCAGATATTTTAAATATCAGCCAAGAACAAGTTATAAAGGGCACGAAGAGACAATGATTAGAGAAACTTATGAAATTTAAGTTTAAAAAAAAAAAAAAAACAGGGCCGGGTGCAGTGACTCATGTCTATAATCCCAACACTTTGTGGGGCTGAGGTGGGTGGATCACTTGAGGTTAGGAGCTTGAGACGGGGTTTCAGCATGTTGGTCAGGCTGGTCTCGTACTCCTGACCTCGTGATATGCCCACCTTGGCCTCCTAAAGTGCTGAGATTACAGGCATAAGCCACAGCGCCCAGCCATTAATCCCTTTAAGAACCTAATGTAAAGTGTCTCACCAGAAAAATCCAAGTAAAAAGTTTTCCAAATCAATTTCAGTGGAATTATGTCCCCACCCAAACCATCCATTTTCTATCAGTCTCAACGGAGATGTTTAAATTGTTTTTAAAGTTGATTTCAAATTAAACAGGGTAGGAGAACTATGATGTGAAGAAACTATTCCAATGTTTGGAAAAATCTAATAAAAAGAGAACTGTCAGGCCAGGCACAGCGGTTCACACCTGTAATCCCAGCACTTCGGGAGGCTGAGGTGGGC